GTAGGTAGGGTAGGTAGGGAGGTAGGGAGGTAGGGAGGTAGGGAGGTAGGGAGGTAGGGAGGTAGGGAGGTAGGTAGGTAGGTAGGTAGGTAGGTAGGTAGGTAGGTAGGTCGGTCGATAAGTAGGTAGGTTAAGCTACGAAAGGCAGAGACAGAGACAGAGACAGAGAGAGAGAGAGGGAGAGGGACAGAGAGAGAGAGAGAGCCAGAGAGCGCTCTGTGTCTAGTCCAACCTTTTTGTCTAGCTAGCTCAGTGATCTTTCATGCTAGCTTCCATATATGTAAGCATATGCATAGATACATATAATTGTATGTATGAGTACATATATCCACAGACAGGTACTGTTATATATGCGTATGTGTGTGTATATATATATATACACACGAGCACATGCGTACACACATCCGTTCCGCTTGCACAATAAGCATACACGTTCCTGCTGCGATAACTCATAGAACGGACTCTACTCTTCCGTGCGGTCTGATTTTTCGTACAACTGACGCACACTCGTAAACCAATTACCCCTAACCCAAAACCCTAAACTCTAAGACCTAAACCTGGCCCCGCAGCCTCCGCCTTGTCTCCCTGCTTCGCCAAGTCATTTCCTTCTTCCTTGTCGGTTTCAGGGTTCTTAGGGTTGGTCTTTAGGTTTAAGGGTCCAAGGCTGGAAAAAGGTTATGTATGATTGGGGCTCTTGGCTGAAGACTTGGGTCTTGGGCGTGAGGGTTGAGGGTTTGGGATTTAGGGTGAATCTGGGGTTGATGATGAGGAGGGTAGAGCAACGAAGGAAGGCTTAAGATCAAGATGCGGTGCACACACCCTCGCGAGTTAAACATGCTGCGCCAAACCGTAAGCCCCAAACCCTGAGGCCCAAAACCCGACCTTTCCTCACTCCCTTGCGGGTCCTTTAGCGCTTTCGCCTGCATGCTCAAGGCTCAGGGCGATCAAGATGAAGGTTTACGGCTTTTGACTCAGGGTTTTCTTCGTTCTCTGCTAAAAATTACGCGGATGTGGCTGTCAGGGCCTTGGCGACCATCATGGAGGAAGAAGAGGGGCGGAGCAGTTCTCGAGAGGTTCAGCGAAGGCCAGGACTGCTACTGTGTCGCGAGACCACCCTAACATTCAACGGAAACTCGTTGACCTTAGCATTTGTGGACAACCTTGGCCAAATAACAGGTGTGTTCAAGCTGACGCCGGCACCCGCCTGAGATCGCTTCGACTCCGGCGTTATCGCCTGACAGGTCTCTTTCTTTCATTGGACATAGGGGACGGGTAAAGTCCCCTGGCCTTGTGGCCCCCCATGTGTTATGGGGCTTTGGGGGCAAGTTCGGTATGATAGGTCTCTCTCTCTCTCTCCCTCTCCCTCTCCCTCTCACTCTGAAGTGATGGGCAGATAACTCACGGAATACATTGCGAGAAAGTCATCTTTGAGTCTGCAGTTTTTAGCTTTCCTGACTCCGGATCGACTCGCAGCGGTATCCGTCCCACCTGGAGCATCTCGACAGCAGCGCATCAATTTCGAGGATTGAGAAGGGTGCTAAAGGGAATAATAGGGCACTGCCTAAGGCTCCTATAAGGCACTGTAAGAGTGTGGTACTTACTATAAAGTACTGTTGGGGTAGTACTACTGTAAAGTCCTGAAAGTCAGGATCGGGGCCCACTGGCACCAAACGATCTGGGTACTGCAAGGGTGCTGTTGGGGTACTCTTCGGCTACCACTGGGATCCTCTATTGCCTTCAAATCTGAGCTCCCTGTACACTCTTCTTAGCTGTGGTTTCGAGGTAGTATCTGCATTGAGACTGCTAGTTTGCTAGTCCGTGCTTGACTTTAGACATGTGCATCTATAGCACAGCAGAAGCCAAAAGGCTGCAAACACATAAAACTTCAGACTGCAACATAAACTCCTCGATTTCTTGCTGGTACCCCCAGCTCCAAACCAAGAATGAGAAACCTGAGGCTTCATCGGGCACCGCTGGCTGTCATGGGTGATGAAGCGAAGGCGGTTGTCCCGCAAGTACCGCAGATGCGCCACGTTCCGCCTGGGCTCAAGGCCGCATTCGTCGTCACATGACGAGCGAACGTGTGGAATACCAATCACCAAAACACATCCGACCGGCAAGCACTCCTACAGCGTACTCTAGACCCAGAACCCTGTGGCCTGAAGCCTGAACGCAACATGCGGTCAATGATACCTGCGTGCACCTCACACGCAAAGGTTCAGTTTCAAAGAAACTAATGAGTAGGGTTCAGGGTTTCCGGTTTGAAGGAGCGACGGTTGTAAGGCCTAGCATACATTGCCGACTTGGTGATCTATGCCCTGTCAACCGACATATATCTGCTTCTGTGTTCGATTTGAGCTCTTCGTCAGAAAAGCTGTTGCCGGCCATGGAGAAGCTCAACACTAACTCCAAACCCCCCAACCTTTAGCCCAAACATCCCAAAACCCTGAACAGAAAAGCAGCGAATCCCCAACACCCCTATGACCTCCTAGTCTCTGGGATCATCAAGCAATGAGGACCTTACCAGTCCAGCAGAAAAAGCGGCAGGAAGACCACCGCCTCAGGATGTAGGGTTGCAGGGTTTAGGGTTTAGGGTTTAGGGTTTAGGGTTTAGGGTTTAGGGTTGCAGTACACCGCCGAGGTAACTAGGCTGCGGGCTTTACGCCCGTTAAGGCTCACTTAATAGGGCCTTAATGATTGAAATAGGGCTTTGGGGTATATTATAGTGTAATTCTAATAAGGAACCCTAAGGAATCATATTGGTAATTATTTGGGCCTCTACATTACACCTTCAGGGTTCACGTCACTTGGCTCCCAACCCAGAGCACCGGAAAGCCGAACGTCGACTCGGACCAGTCCCAGATGGCACTACCTCGTAGCTGATGATGTTAATACAATAGTGTTACCAAATTATGGGCGTTTGATTCTTTGTCTTGTTAGTGCCATTCGTTCGATCCAGAAGTGTTACTCGTACTATCATACTATCAGTTCTGTTAGCGTCACTGTATTTACAGTCTTGTTGTGATGTGCTGGCCAGAAATGCTTCGGAGTCTTTTTGGATGCGGCTTTGTGACTGGGTCTCTGCATTTTACGGGGAGGCTCTAAGCGAACAACTGGGGCCTGTTCCTCTGAACTCCAAGGGCCCCAGCTGCGTTTCGTCGAGAGGCCTTGTGGACCCTGCAGTCAACTCTGCGGCCAAAAGAGCTTCGGGGAGCAAGTTTAGCACAATGACTCACGATCAAGTGGTAAGTAAAACCCTTCACCCCAGGCCCTAAACATCAAATCAAAACCTAAAACCCAAAAAACCTATACACCAATTACGGGTCTACTTACTTAAACCCGAAACCCTAAACCCGGGTTCTTCCGATCCCACCTCCAGGATAGGCCAGCCGGCAGTACCTGCACAACTTGTCAGGGCCCTTCTTCTAGAAGGCAGACCCTGGAAACCCCAAACTTTGGGGCACCAGAGCCCGAAACCGAAACCCAACAAAACACACAAAAAACAACAAAAAACAACACTAAACACCCCCCAAAGCCTGAAATCTGAACCCTGAAGCCTCTAGCGCCCTTTCCTTTGACCATGGCAGAAACCCTCAAACCCTCCCGAGCCCCTGAAACGAACCTCAGCCCCACACCCTAGCCCCTAATGCCTAAACAACCAAACTCCTAAACCCCTGAACCCCCAAACTCCAATAAACCCCGAAACCCTAAACCCTAAACCCTAAACCCCCCCAGCGCACAGTAGCAGACCGAAGAAACCCTAAACCCTAAACCCTAAAGCCTAAACCCCCCCAGCGCACAGTAGCAGACCGAAGAAACCCTAAACCCTAAACCCTAAACCCTAAACTCTATAAGCCCTATAAGCCCTATAAGCTCTATAAACCCTATAAGCTCTATAAACCCTAAACCCCCCAGCGCACAGGAGCAGACCGAAGGCACTGTAGCAGAAGGACTGCTCCGCGAGCCTGGAGAGCCTTCGGAGAGAAAAGGCTGAAGAATGAAAGGGGGCCTGAAGAGGTAGAGTAGGGTTTAGGGTTTAGGGTTTAGGGTTTAGGGGTTTATTGGAGTTTGGGGTTTAGGGTTTAGGGTCTAGGGTTTAGGGTTTAGGGTTTAGGGTTTAGGGTTTAGGGTTTAGGGTTTAGTAGGGGCCTTAATAACTAGAATGGGTTTTGGGGCCAATTAAACTATAATTATACGAAGGAACCCCCAAGACCCTATTCTAATTATTAAGGCCCCTAAAAGAAAGGTGGGCTTAGGGGTTCAGGGGTTACGGTTTATGGTTTAAGGTTTTCTGTTTAGGGGGTTTAGGGTTTACGGTTTTTTCTTTTCAAGGGCGCCTTTTCCCCTCCGCCATAGACGTCCCACAACATCAGAGAAAGCCGGGTTTACGGTTTAGGGTTTCTCTCCAGGGTTTGGGGTTTAGGGTTTAAGGCTTGTGGTTTCAGGGTTGGTATAAGAGGATGTAGGGTTGCTATATAAGGATCTAGGGTTTGGGGTACAGGTCAAGGCAGGTAGTGGAATTTAAACAAGGGTCGGTGGATCCGTACTCCCACCTACCTTCATCGAACACGTTGGACTATGAGGTAATATTCGGTTTTCGGGCTTAAGGTAGAGGGATTGCAAGGTTTGCGGTCCAGGGCATAGAGTCGAGGGTTTAGCCCAGGTTCTGGGTGGTTTGAAGCATAGGGTGCATGGTTCAGGCTTAGGGGCTGGCCTGACCGGTGCAGGTGAGTAAACCCTAAACCCTAAACACTAAACCCTAAACCCTGAGCTTCAGTCTGTCACATCGCGCCACGGCCTCCGAACCCTTGCGGCTTCTGCGAAGCAGAAGCTTTAGAGTTTTGGGGTTTAGGTTTTAGGGTTTGGGGTTTAGGGTTTTAGGGTTTAGGGTTTAGGGTTCAGGGCTCTTGTTCAGAAGAGGCCTGCGCTTGGTATCTCGCAGGAAGAAGGCTGACCTCACAAACACGAAACAGCTGCCGGGACATATTAACAATACATACTAGCTTACTATCATATACTATCATGCAATATCATACACTAGAAAATACTATAATAATATACGGTCGTATAAGTCATATACTATGCACATCTGACATGGCTGGGAGTTGAGTTGAAAAAGCACTTAGTGGCACGAGGCTGTCTTGATGGCTGTGCTCGAAGCCTTGAAGTTGAACGAACAAGGCTTCAGACGCAGGAGAAGGTTCTAAAAAATGAGGCTCAGGGTAAATTTCCAAGACAGGAGCCCTGATTTTAAAGTCTTGTTGCATTCTGGTTCTTCTTCTCAGTGCAAATACAATGAAACTGTTCAACTGTGGCCACTGGTGCTCGGTTTCCAGTCTTCTTGCTATGTTCTTGCGATATAACTGCTGTGTGTGAGATTGATTGAGCTCTGGCCGTGGATGCAGCGCCATTCGTCGTCGCAGCAGCAGCAGCAGCAGCAGCAGCAGCAGTAGGAGTGGTGGTAGTAGTAGTCGTCGCCGTTGTCGTCGATGCTGTCGTCGTAGTCACCACAATCATCATCGCCCTCAACCTCATTCTCTTCATCATCCCTGCCATCATCACCATCACTAACACGGCGCCGATGATTCTGAGAATTGCATGGTGGAAGAGAACTGCAATTCAGAGAGCCGTGTGGGTGAAGCATGGCTCCGCCAATACTTCCCAGACTCAGCTGCCGACGTCTCGTCCGTCGGTTCCGCCTCCATGGCGCAAAGACGCCACAGCCATTCAGCTCGCTGGACGGGGGCAAGGGTTGTTCCGATTGAGCCTCGCTGTGGGTGGGGTCCATGCCATAGTCAATTCCTACCCTTCAGTAGAAGATCGCTGCTGAACATTCGTGGCTTTGGCGAGATTTACATTCAGGCTGGTGGGGTAGGGTCCTGTCAACTTCGTTGAGACGGTAGTTGGTCTAACAGATTGAACGGTGGATAAAAAAAAACGCCGGGTCAAATGTCGGCAAGCTCCTGACACCTGGCTTCCTGCATTTTGACCGCTCGACCCGTTGTGTTGTCTATGTATTTGTTCTGTTCCTGCCAGGACTCGGACGAGATAAGCTGCACTTGCTGCCCCACGTTTCTTCTGCTGGTGCCGATGTGTAAAGCTGCATCAAGGGAAGGATATCCAGCATCAAGGCGAAAGCAGAGCGTCGCTGTCACACAAAGTCGCTACAGATTACAGCGCAGCATGCAATTTTCCCAGTGACATGTTGCGAGCGGTTGGTCAGCGGTCTACCGACGCTGCCCCAGTTCACATGCAAAGACAAGATGTTTAGCTTTCAACCAGGATTTACCGTTTAGAGCTTTGGGTTCCTGACATATACTGGCAAGTCCTAGCACACGCTCCTCTCTGGTATGGCCATACATGCACACACATACACACACACGTGTGAGTTCGTACGGCATGTGTGCAATGCCGTACAAGAAGATCAACTGCTTTGCAAACATGCTTAAGAACATGAAATGCCGATAAAGTGTGGTGGCGAAAACACCATAGCGTGCGAGGTAGGATAAGTCTCAAACACATAGATGGCAGTACGAACATATGCTTGTATGTCACACTGCTTCACAAGCGATAATGATCCATCCAGTGTGAGCTGTTACCCAATTTTGCGAACTACGGTAGACAATGACACAAACGGGGGCGCTGCCTGTAGAGGCGGAGCATGATGCTCGATCGGCAAAGCATTTAGCCAGACCGCTGCTAGATTTCTGCCTGGTCCAGCCCTTTGGCCAAAGCAGCCTTTCAGAAGAGTGCATGGAGAGAGGTGAGGCGTAAGGAAACTTAGCAACTCTTGAGGGTCCTACTTGTGTGCACTTCGCCACAGGTTGCGGCTGTCCTGAGTGCGCATGGATGATGCCATGCTCACCTCCCGTTTTGGCGTCGTCAGGTATTGGACGGTGCATCATGCACCCGGTCACAGTGAGACGTCACATGAACGACAGATGTCTGTGAAGAAGCACATGATGTTGACAGAATTGCCAGTCTTGAGTGCCAGGCCCAGTTCCCCGCTTCAAGTTGGACGATGACGTGACGACATAGCTGTAGCTACCAGCAAGTCAACTTTAAGGATATCAGCGAACCCCGGAAACGACACAGGCCCACTCCGGACTGAATGGCCGCATCATCGGCGAGCCTACAAAGTGAGACGCTCTTGACAGACGGAGCAAAGACGACCCCAAGTGCTTCTCAGGGGCTAAGACTACTAAGACAGGACCCCAACAGGTCCACGATGTAGGGGCCAGATTCCCAACTTCGGGCCAGCCCCATTTTCACACAGTCTTGACTTGTTAGCATCCATCTACGTATCCAGCACAGGCCTAGGGCAGGGCAACGTGATGCAGGCAAGCTTTGATTGAGAGCATGCTCCATGGTTGACCCAAAAGACGAGGATCCTACTGTGGAAGGAAAGGGGTGCGTTCAGGCGCTACAAAATCAATCAACCCTACAGGCGACGGTACGTTCGCGGATGCAACAGTCCCATGCAAGGATAGCATCACTCCAGTTTTTGAAAATGCAAGAACATGCTGAAGACTATTGCCCAGGGCTCAGGCAGCTACTTAGCAAAGCCCATCTTCGTACCTATCAAGGCCCGTGGTGTTTCTTTCGACAGGCCCGAGTGCGCAGTGGGGGCCTGTAAGACTGCAAGTATCCCAAGCTAAAGTCGCTAAGACCAACCTCTTGTGGTGTTGGTACGATTCAAGACCCTCACACACCGTCATCTTGAGAGAAGACGTCTCTGACCTGGGTGTTGGGCCCAGGCAAGCAGGACTGAAGCGATCCAAGACAAGAAGGAGTGCAGGATGACGCGCATATTAAATATCACCTATTGTACAGTGTACGTTTTGCTACATATTAATCATCCTATCTTACCTTGTCTTGTTTTATCTTTCTGATCTTACCCGATAGATTATTGTGGTATAGTGTGCTGCTTCATACTTTTATCTTCTATCTGCCTTAAATTTTATATTATCTGCTTTAACATTATTCTGATGTATGCAGCTTTAACCATGCAACATTAGATTATGTACTGTTTCATTACACTGTATTGCAATTGTCATATGAACTGTACTCGATCCTATTATACCGCGTTGTGTTGCATTGTATTGTATTGCAATGTACTACATTTCTCTCTACTAAGTTGTGCTGTATTGCACTGTGTAATAAATAGGTCATATTCGTGTTCCTGCTTGTACTGTGTTATATGGCATTATAATCATTATGCCGCAGTCTATTCGATTGTTTTTGCACTTGACAGTACCAGAACCCTCAACCCTAAAGCCTAAACCCTAAACTCGAAACCCCTAAACCCCCAAAGCCCCTCAACCCTAACCCTAAACCCAAACCCCTAAGCCCTAAACCCTACACCCCTGAACCCTAAACCCAAACCCCCAAACCCTACCCCGCTGAACCCTTAAAAACCCTAAACCCTAAACCCTAAACCCTGAACCCTTAAAACCAAAACTCAAACGCGCACACAGCTGCCAGCGCGCCACTCAAGCCCGGTTCTCCGGCAAGAAAGCCGGGCAGAGCCGGCCTTAACAAGGCGTCTAAACGTTCTTGGCTTGATTGTTGAAGGGTTGAGGGTTTGGGGTTTAGGGTTTTGGGTTTAGGGTTTAGGGGCTGAGGGTTTAAGGCTCTTCGGAAAAAATTGTGGGTTTCGGGCTCAGTTTCGGGATCGGGGTTCAGGGTTTTAGGGTGTAGGCGTTAGGCGCTAGGGGTTAAGCAGTAGGATTTAGGGTTTTTTGGTTCAGGTTTTGTTTTTTTTTGGGGGGGAAGAAGTTCAAGTTTTTTGCTAGGGTTCAGGTTTGGGGTGCAGCGTTTCGGCTTTCGGTTGTAGGGCTCAGTGTTTGCGGTTTTCCTTTGGAAGTTGATTGGACGGCTCTTTTGGGGGGATCTGTATAGGATTTACTGTTTCGGGTGTAAGGACCATCTGCGATTCTAAAGGGCAGGGCTTCTAGCAGAGTTCCGTAACGCATCTACAGGATTCAAAGCTTTAGGGCAGGGTCGTTTCGGCTCATTGAGGACCCTCGGAGCTGCGTGTGTCTGAAATTTACTGTCTCAGGTATTGGGGCTTAGCGAGGGCTCAGGGTTTTGCTGTTCTACAGGATCTCATGGCCACATCCACTTCCGCCCACTGGCCTTCGGTGCTCTCCACGTGCCAGTAGCGAGGATCATCAACGCCGTAGGAGAAAGGAAGGACCTGGGAGACATAAGAGCAGCTTTGGTGATTTGTCTGTCTTTCTGAGATTTCCTTTAAGGGTATCTGCAGACTTGGGATAGAAGTCTAAGAAGTACTTGATAGATGCCTTTTCCTGATATGTTCATGATGAGTCTCCAGACGTCACCTCAGGCCAAGAGCTGGCTGCCTCTTAGTATCATGTTACCGATGTCTATTTGGGAGTTTCCGAAAATTAGGGGTACCTTGAGTTGGGGTCCTTACAACAAGGATCCTACTATCTGGGGTACTATATTAGGGCCCCCTATTTTCAGAGACTCCCATTGCGGCTGTTACCAATGAGCAGTAGCTTCGGAAGTGGTACAAGCATGAGCATTAACACTTGCCTTAGTATTGGCATAAGCACTAGCACTAGCATTGCCATTAAAGGCCCATTAACATGATCATCAAAATCAGCATTGGCATCAGCCGTGGCATGAGCATCAGCCTTGATAATCATTGCTACTGATGGGGTTACGATGACTGCGACGAACATTAGCAGGAGTAACGTAGTAGTAGTCGTCGTCGTCGCCGTCGTAGTCCTCGTAATAGTCGTAGTAGTCGTAGTAGTCGTAGTAGTAGTAGTAGTAGTAGTAGTAGTAGTAGTAGTAGTAGCTAGTAGTAGCAGCAGCAGTAGTAGTAGTAGTAGTAGTAGTAGTGGTAGTAGTAGTTGTTGTTGTTGTTGTTGTAGTAGTAGTGGTGGTAGTAGTAGTAGTAGTAGTCGTAGTAGTAGTAGTAGTAGCAGCAGCAGCAGCAGTACTACCGTAGCAGCAGCAGTCGTAGTAGAGGAGTCGCAATAATGGTAATGCTGCTTGACTTCCTCCACCAGAAATTGCTTGAAATCCTTCACCAGCAGGACCGTGTCAGCTCCAAACCCCGCCAATGTTTCAAGTGCACCTCAAAGCAAAGCCAACCACAAGCAAAAGAAAGACACCCTAAACCCTAAACCCTAAACCCTAAACCCTAAACCCTAAACCCAAATCGAAGGAAAAGCCAGGTTGCCATCTTTTTGGGGCCGCTCTTCTTCCGCACTTTTGCGGCTACCAAGCCGGCACCTGCGAGGCTCCGTGGCTCAGGACTTTGAAGCTGCTGAGGTCCTCAACCAATGTTTCCGGTTTTCGGGTTTAAAGTAGTGTGTAGGGTTTAGCGAATGTAGGGTTTAGAGTTTAGTTGTGGGTTTAGCTTAGTAGGGTTTAAGCCGCCCCCGACTTCCCGTAAGGCGAAATCTGAGCCGCGAAACATCTGCGTTCTGGATTAGGGTTTGGATGTCCAGCCTCGTACTTAGGATCCTGAAACCTCAACATGCTGCACCTCCTCTTTTCGATCGACCCAGGAAACGGGATTAAGGGTTGAGGGCTTAGGGGTGTTAGGGTTTGCAAGTTGGCTAAAGAGTTTAGGAGGAGCGCGATCTCCACAGGGCGGTAATGCTGTCATGCTACAAGTCATAAAATTAAAAGTAGTCCTGGCAAAACCAATCCTGCTATATAGTTGCAAGAGCAAGCCAATGATACTACTCTGTTGGTAATGAAAATGCAAACCACATGTCTTGCACGTCATGGTAGCCTGTCCGTGGACATGACTCATATTTTTGCTATACGTCCACAGCACACCAGCATCACCGTCATCGTCGTCATCAGCTTCGTCGCTTGCCATCACCTTAATCATCTTCGTCTTCACCATCATCATTGCCATCAAGCAGGTCACGAAACGACGGATAGCCCTCATGACAACAATCTTAAACTCACAGACCTCACAACCAAGTTGCAGGGCAGTGCAGGGCCTAACTCCGAGACTTCGAGAACATCGGAAAACTCAATGACAACTCGGAACGAAAAAAATACGAGTAATAATACTAGAAATCACAGCAATGCTAGCGGTTGCGGATACTGGGGCAGAGGTGGTGGTGTGGTGGCGGTGGTGGTAGCCGTCGAAGCACAGGTCGTGGTAGAAGCCGCAGTCGTGATCGCAGTTCATAGTTCGCACTCGTAGCTGTAGTAGTAGCAACAGCGCAGGAGTAGTAGTAGTAGCAGCAGTAGTAGTAGTAGTTGTTGTTGTTGTTGTTGTTGTTGTCGTTGTTGTTGTAGTAGTTGTTGTAGTAGTAGTAGCAGCAGCAACTACTGTAGCGGTTGTACAAACATGAACAAGCAATGTACACCACAAAGACATTCATGTGTGTGTATATATATATATATATGTATATATGTCTGTGCATATGTGTATATCTATAGGTATATATGCATATATGCATGTAGGTATGTACGTATGAATGCATGAATGTAGGAATTTCTGAATGTATGAAGGTATGAATGTATGTACGGTTGTATGTATGTGTGTGTCTATGTATGTATGTATGTATGTATGTATGTATGTATGTAGGTATGTATGTATGTATGTATGTACCTATGAATGTATGTAAGTAGGTACGTGGTAGGTACATACGTATGTATGTACACACGTACGTATGTACATCTGTACGTATGTATATACGTATGTATGTACGTAGGTATGTATGTATGTCTGTTTGTGCATGTGTGCATGGTCCCCCCTCCCCCCCCGAGACCACCCCGTTCAAAACCCCGCTCCCACCGGCCATTCCGGCCTTTTTTTGCGGGTCCGGGATTCAAGCCCTAACCAAAAAGCAAAAGATCCAGAGAGAATGTGAGAACTGGTGTGTTTTCTTGTGTTTGGGGCTTTTGGTTGCTTAGTCTTTTGGTCGTTTGGTCTTTTGGTTTTGGTGTCCCGATTATTATGGATAATTGTGGCACGGTACAAGGAAATCTGTAAAACTAAAAATCCAAAAAACCAAAACAAAAACAAAAAAAACAAAATAGTTCCGGCATTCTCTCTGGATCTTTGGATTTTTGGGGCTCGTGCTTCATCTTTGGTGTGGAGTCGCCTGTGTTCTTGCCGGAGATCCCCATAGCAAAGCCCTAAAACCGTTAACCCGATACCAAAACATCTATACGGTTCGGTTTGAGATTCTACGATTGGTTTATGTAAGTTTGGTCTTTCAGAAAGATTCTGTTGTGGAATACTCTGGTACCAGCAGTCGATTCAGAACAAATCTTTGCATTCAGTTCTTGTGCCTACACTTACACATGCCCATATGTGCAACTGGGATTGCAAGCCTCACACATGAGTCACAACTGCAACAGATCTCGCAGACGTATCAAGCATTGACCGAATAGTTAGAATAAACCATATCGTTGTTTGTATAGTTTGATTCTTCCGTGGTTCGTAGTCTTTTCGAGCCGGCTTTGTATCTATATGAGTAGTGGTAATGGCTAATCAGTTATCGTTATCGCTGTTACACAGGGACGCGTTTATCGAGCTTCAACTTCTTTGCGCACCATCATGTCCAGTATGGTTCCATTTGTTTTGCAGTCTTTTATAATTAAATTAACATTGGTCCATTACTTCACTACTTCATACAATGGTATATGCAACACCAAGCCGTATTGCCAGATAAATGCCGGTATAGCTGTAATTGAAAACCGTTATAATCGTCGGACACCTACAATGTTCCATTTATGTTGAAGTCTTTTGCCATTGACTTGACATTGGTTCACTACTCCGCTGCTTCATACAATCGTATATACAACACCAAGCCGTATTGCCAGATAAATGCAGGTATAGCTGTAATCTTACGGAAAACCATTGCAGCAAAGCTTTAACCGTACTTGTCAAAAAAACAATAAATTTCGGCAATAGCAGCCCTTCGTAGCTTCGTGACCCACTATTATAATTGCAGGTATCTGTATGTGTACTGGATGTATCATCGTCAGACACCTTCAAGCCCATCCAATCCCCATACCTAAATTACGAATACAGTCTGCTGCTATGCACAAACTATCTTATCAAGTGTAGTCAGTGTGTTGTTATTACTACTTACCATTGAGAATATCCCTGCTACGCTAGAGTTGCCGTTCTGCTTCCGTCAGTATTACTAGCTCAGTGCACACTCTAATCACTCCTGTACGATTAGCTCTGGGATCCATCATTCAACAGTTGGTATTCACATTATCTCAGGCCAACCAAGCATTATCAAGTACATGTATCTGAGTCCTGTGCTTGTTCACATTCCGATTCGTATGTAACTACCTCTCAGTCCCTGAATCTTCACACTTAAGATTTAATACAAAGACTGGCTAGCCGGTAATGCATTGAAGTTGGAGGATTGTTATTGCTGGAAAATTTGTCAATATGTGGCTGCTTGATAAATTTGCATTCAGCAGGTTGGTTCTTGATATCTTGTCCTCATACAATTCCTTCGTTGGTCGAACTTGGTGTTGTCTTTCGTGTAAAATCATTCTAGGCATATTACACCTAGCAAATGACGACCATTAAACAAGCATATGTGCTACAATTGTGTAGTGGACTTCTGCTATTGTACTGGTCAGAGGTCTGTACTGTAAGCCCATTTTAGGACCCCCCCCCCCATTAAAAACGCAAAGCACACATCAGCGGATATCATACATATTTTTATCTTACGCAGTGCGTATCTCAAGCCAGCATATTGGGTTTGCCGCTTTTTCGGAATGCTGCTTCAAGTGTACAGCCGTGATTTTCGACTAGTTCGAGTTTTCCCATAGTGATGGCTTCAATCGGAGACAAACAGCAAAGCTCCGTGCTTCAATAACTGACTAAAACAATCAATGAACGGCTCTTACCATTAAAACATCTTCATGTAGAGATTACCGATTAATACCCATGTTTGTACAGGACAAAAAGGAGAAGCTCGTCAACAAATGTTTGGCGATCATCTCGCATAAAGACTTGTCAAATGAATGGTGGTTGAATTCTCCATTGAAGTTCAGTCTTAAGTGCAAGCTGCGGGTCTTAAACAGCCACGGTTTAATGAACTATTGACACAACGATAGGCTCATCCGTGCATGCGCTTCTCTGTATCTTGTCATATACGTACTTACTTACTTACTTACTTGCTTGCTTGCTTGCTTACTTACTTACTGACGGCCTGCTGCAGCGGCCGCCGTGGACTTTGGAAGATTTCCCGGCGTGCCACCGACTTTGGTGGCTTTGCGCGACAGGGCCTCCACTGTTGAACTTCAAGGTCTGGGTAAGGTTTAGGGCCGGGATTAGGGTTTAGGGTTTAGGGTTTAGGGCCGGGGAGTTAAGATTTTGTATTGAGTTACAGCTCAAGGGCCTAGGGTTCGAGTCGATTTATGCTTACGTGAAGAGGTTTAGGGCTGAGAGTGCACGAGATAAGGGCTAAACTGAGCTCCAACACGGTTTCTCAATCGCGACGGACGAGACGAGGCTAGAACAAGGGGCGTTAGAACAGGTGCTGAGTCACCGTGCGCACCTAAGTGCTACTCAGCCAGCTTCACGAGTCTTTGGTGTGCTGAGCTCATGATTTCAGCTGGGGACCCCGATTCAGGCTTTAGGGTTTAGGGTTTAGGGTTTAGGGTAACCACCACCCTCCTACCGCACCCAGCGGGGCACCCGGTCGGCAGCCGTCTTCTCGGTCTTCCTGGGCAAAGGAACGGCCCGATCCACCCAAGGACAGGCAGCGGAAAATCAAGCGCGAATACGACCGGCCGAGGGCTTCGGGTTCGGATTTGGGGATTCGGGTCGAGGGTATAGAGAAGAGGGCTCAGGAAGCTCTTTGTAGTTCGAATTTTCCGCCGAGTGTCTCAGAGGACTTCTCTGCAGTCACCTGGCACCAGTCGGAGGGTTAAGGGCTTAGGGATGTTTAGGGTTTGGGGCTTCGGCGAGTTCAGGGTTTAGGAGGGCACTGCAGCATAGACATCCTTGCATGGCAGAAACATTCAGTTTCCAACTAGCGCGACAAAACTACGATGGCCTGGTTGGCTTTGTCAAGTCCGGGCTCTGCGACTTCACCTGGCAAGGGTCATGCCACTCGGAGCCAGGCGTCACGTCGTGTCATGTTTCGGATATCAAGATACATGAACTGCAGCTTGCTGGTGGACAGATTCTCCATGCGCTGCAAGCAGTGTCTCACGAGTGCTGCTCCTGAGAACGGGTAATCACAGTCTTGGTTGGAGTTAGCCTTTCGTTGGCAAGGCCGACGCCTGGACTTGACACAAAGCGCCTGTGCCACTGTAGCAGTACTCAGTAACTGCACGCCACGACTACAACGACTAAACCTCTGAGATGTGCCTGGAGCACCGGCACGCTTCTCCTTGTGGATCAGACTGCATTCTCGGGTGTACGAGTGTGCGTCGTTGCGAATTTGGCGATGATCCTATTCATTGGGCATCTTTATCGAGCCAGGGTGTCAACCAGTAGAAGAATCGAAAAATGAATTCGTGGAACCAGTCCTGGGCGATGCCAGTCAATCTTCATAGTGGACCAGGGCTCAGCACTCAATAACCGCTATCATCCCACAGCAAAAAACCTTGAAAAAAAAACTACGTGGCTACTACAGCGGCCTGAATAATTAGAGTAGGGTTTTGGGGTATATTGTGTTATGTTGAGCCCCTATACTGCGGTATTACTCCAAAACCCTAATCAAACCCTAAACTAAATGGCTACTCGTGCGACAGGCCCCCAAATGCTACAATATCCCGCCCCTGCTCCCCCTTCAACCCTAAACCCCCTAAACCCTAAACCCGTGCGGAGCGAGATGCCATCACTCAGGTCACCAACCATGGAAACAGACCCTGATTCTGCTGATCGTCGTGACACCTCTGTCTGAAAGCATCCGAAGCCTTTTTCCCCAAGGTTTTCAGCGAGGTTTTCAGATTAGGCCTGTGCTTCGGGATCCCCTAAACCCTAAACCCTAAACCCCTAAACCCTAAACCCTAACAAAAGGAGATCCAGTCCTTGTCAGGCTTAGACATCGTCGGACAAGGCTTCTCTGGAAGTGACCTTGGTTGTAATCTGACAGCGCGGCCTGAGAATGTGCCGGGTTTGCTGATCTTATATCTGTCTGTCTCTCTTCTAGCAGCTCTTACAGTTGCCCGTATGGAACCCCTATAGAACCCTCATGGTAACCCTTACAGAACCCCCAGCACTCTCGTCAACCCCCACACCTTTGACGACTCGATGAACGCTGCGACCTTTGGGGCTCCGGCTTGCTACGGCTAATTGCCAGCTTCGATGGCGCCTCAGGGCCGGTCTCCAACTCCGGTGAGTCTGGGTCTCTACTTCTCGATCTACTTGTTGCTTGGTTCTCTTCGATTTTGGGGTTTACATCTATGCTCATGTCTCTGTCTTATCTGATCATATACTATAATGATGGTATTGGTTGTGGTAACTGCGGCGACGACGACGGGGAGGAGGAGGAGGAGAACGAGGACGAGGACGAGGACGATGATGATGACGACGACGACGATGACGGTGATGACGATGATGACCATAATGACCATAATGACGACAATGATGATGATGCTGATGATGAGGATGATGATGATGACGACGACGATCATGGTGGCAATGGAGATGCTGGTACTTCTCGACTGGGCCAACCCTGCGCCCAAACACAGGCATGCGAAGGTGTAGAAGGACGCTGGGATCGGAAGCTCTGCTCTGAAAGCATTCACCTCTGACGGCCCTAATGCTGCAGGACTTGCAACCAAGCAGGCCAAACACGGCTCAGTCAACATCTTGACTGAAACTTGCGACGATCTCAACAACCGTTGTAACACCGCCAAGTGAGCGGCTGATCTGCTGGCTGGCGTGCGCCTGCAGGTCAGGCGAGGCACATCGGAGGCCCTCCGCCCTCGTGTTGTGGGTCGAGAAAGGCACGGGGCTCAGGGTGGTAACACCAGCACGTGCCACAGCATCTGCCGGCAGACAGCGCAAAGATCGGGAAAAGCAACCGACAGAGCAACAGCAACTAGTGCAAAGATCGGCGTCTCTATCGAAGCCTTCCGGCCACGAAGAACAGAAACTCCTTAGCCCTGCAGAGCAGAACTCCAACCTCAGAGCCCTGCATCCTGAACCTGAAGCTCATGAATCCTGCACCCAAAAGCTTTCAATCCTCGCCGTAGATCCCGGAAACTCCAAATACTCTACCGTGATCCCCAGAAAGTTGGAACATGGGTTTAGGATGACTAGTGCTGGGATTCCCTCTTCTGTACCTTAAGGCCATGAGGATAATGATGTTCCAACTTTCTGGCTTCTACTGTACACTAAACAAACCAGCGATGATCTCATGGAGCTTGCAAGTTGGCACCGAGAGGTCTTCGGCACGCCGCCCGGCCAAGTGGAAAAAGGCCTCTCAGGGCTCGGGGGTTGAGGGGTTCAGGGATCGGGGCGCAAGATTTCGGGTTTAGGGTTTAGGGTTTAGGGTTTAGGGTTTAGGGGTTTAGGGTTTAGGGTTTAAGAGTTTTTCATTTCGGGCAAAAGAGTTGGGATCAGATTTTTGGGGTTAAGATGTCAGGAGTTTGGGGGTTTAGAGAGTGTAGGGGAGCTACTGGGAGCCCGAGGAAGCTAAAACTACAGAAGAGTACCATCGAGTGTATGAATAGTAAGAGTACTACAAACAAAACTGACAATGATAATAATATTAAGAACAGCAATAGCAATTTTCAAGATCGTGCTGATAACAACAATGATGGTAATGATAATGATGACAATAATACTTTGCGCAAGCAGGGTTCTGAAAAGGAACTGGGCCCAGAGCGAATCGTCTCGATCTTGGCCACCACCTCAAGGATTCCGGCCACAGTGCAGCAGTCTTTCTCTGGAAAGCTCCGCGCAACCGCGGCACACCCTAAACCCCAAATCCTGAACCCCCCTGAACCCTAAACCCTAACTAAACCCGTAATCCTGAACTCTGAAGCATAGCCCCAACACCGAAACTACAAGCTGACAGCTACGCCCGAAAGTTGAGGCTCGCACTCTTCACTTTCTCCCTCCCTTCTTCTCCTGGCACAGATTATTTTGTGTTCAGGATAGTAGTGTGGTGTTGTTGTTGTTACTGTCCTTCTGCCCGCTGCTATTACTGTGATTACGGTTACTTCTGTCATTATAAGTGAGAGTTTCCGAAAATAAGGGCTACCATATTTCGGGGTCCTTATTCTAAGGATCCTACT